CAGAAGCCCCTACCTCTGGGCCGGGAACAGTGGGACTCAGTACCTTGGTCTGGTGGTCTGGTGTCCTCTGCGTCTTTGTAGTGTGGAATCAGGTGGCTGCCTGTCTGCAGCGGGATGATTTGGCGTCTTCTGCGCGACTCAGGACCTCAGTAGGGCATGCACAGATCTGCCTGTCTGCAGCGGGCTGATATGGCGTGTGTTCTGGGCGACTGGGGACCTCGGTAGGGTGTGGGCAGACCTGCCTGTCTGCAGTGAGGTGATTCGTCCATTTTCCGCGGGACTCAGGACCTCTGTAGGGCATGCACAGATCTGCCTGTCTGCAGCGGACTGATATGGCATGTGTTCCGCGCGACGGGGGTCCTCAGAGTCAAGAAGAAGCAATTTAAAGACAACCCCTCCGATATACGTAAAGACATACGCTTTTCTTTACAATGATCAATTCTAAGCTCTAAGGACGGAGAGGTTGTGAGGATTTTGACAAGAACTTTGGAACAAGCAAAGCTGTTCAAATTGTAGACTGCAGAAGCAGGCGCACCACGTGAGAAAGTTCTGGAAAGGGTCTACCTGAACATGTCCCGAGTCTCTGCTCAGCCTACAGCAGATTGAGAAATGGACTACGGCGTTATTTTATCTAGAACCGCGCACTGAGAGTGCAGTAGCCTACAAACGGAGAAGTATGAAAAGTAGCAGACCAGACTGGGTTTGGGAAGCGTGCTTGGAATTGCTTGTCAGATTCTAAAGTGGTGAAGAATAAATGTTTTGACTTTGGATTTTAAAACCCCATTTATGATTTTAAAACTACACTTGAAATAAAAATGATTAAACTAAATTTTGATCCAGTGACGTTACTTTGCACTTCATAGTTCTTTGTATTTTTTTAAGTCTTAATTTATTTCCAAGTTTTATGTGAAGCTACAGCATATCCAAACTATTAGAAATTTTCTATTTCTGTTATGTGCTGTGATTCACGTCCTGTTGAGTATTATTTTACCTAAGCCTTTTGTATGATAGATGATATAAATGTCATTTATAAATATTTTGCAGTCTGTACAGCTTTAATAAATTTAATGGGCCCAATTGAAGAAGGGAGTTAATGTTTGTTAAAATGGAATTAGTTAAATAAATTACCTATTGGGTTGTAGCCCAAATCTGCACAAGATTTGAGTATTTGAATTTTCTACTCTTCTCTTCTTTCACAGTATTGTATGTTTGTAAAAATAATGCAGTCACTGCTTGTTATCTGTGTTGTAGTAGCCAGCAGGACTATGTGTGTTACAGTTGACTGCTTTTGGTAGTGACCTTTTCTGGTGTTTAGTTGGAATCCACAGAGCACATATGCCTTGGGCCTTGGAATGAATCCATCTCTTTAGCACCCTAGAGCCTCTCTTCTCTGTCACATTCCTCCTTCTTACCAAATTTATCCCTTCATCCAATGAAATATCCCCTGCCCCATTTTGGTTTTTTTGAGCAGGGTGTGGTAGTTCAGGCAATCCTGCCTCAGCCTCCTAAGTGCTTCTTTACATTTTTTTTTTTTGGTACCCGGGATCCAACTCAGAAACTTGTGCTTGCGAGGCAGACGCAGCACCACTGAGCTAAATCCCCGGCCCTTTACATATTCTTGATGTTAGTCCTCTGTCTGTAGAATAGCTGGCAAATTTTTCCCCATTCTGTAGATTATCTCTTCACTCTGTTGATTGGTTCCTGTGCTGTGCAGAAGCTTTTTAATTTGATATGATCCCATTTGTTGATTATTGGTAGTATTTCTTTCTTTTTGGTACTGGGGATTGACCTCGGGTCCTTGTGCTTGCCAGGCAGGCGGCAGAACCACTGAGCTAAATCCCTGGTCCATAGACTATTGGTATTATTTCTTGTGCCAGTAAGAGTCTGTTCAGAAAATTCTTGTGTACACCTATGTCTTCAAGACTTGTACATATTTTATATTCCAGCAGATTAAGTGATATTCTGTTTTAACATTTAGATATCCATTTTGATTTTAGTTTAGTACATGGTGAGATAGATGGCTCTAGACTTAATTTTCTGCATCTGGATAGCTAGTTTTCCCAGCACCATTTATTAAAGATTCTATCTTCCCTTCATTGTACGTTTGGGCTTCTTTGTCAAAGATCAAATAGGTGTATGTGCCTGAGGTTATTTGTGTTCCTTGTATTCTGCCCCATTGATCCACACGCCAGTTTTTGTGTCAATATTATTGCTGTTTTAATCACTGTAGCTTTATAATATAACTTCAAGTATGGGATTGTGATGCCACCTGCTTTGCTTTAGTACCCAGAATTACTTTTGCTACTCTGGGTCTCTTATGATTCCATACAAATTTTTGGATTGCTTTCTGTTATTCTGTGTGAAATGCCATTGGTATTTTGATTGGGATTGCGTTAAATCTGTATATCAGTTTTGGAAGTATAGCCATTTGATTATGTTGGTTCTGCCTATCCAGGAATGGACTATCTTTCCATTTTCTGATACCTTTCTTAATTTCCTTTTTCAGAATGATGTACGTTTCATTTTATAGGTATTTTATTTCTTAGGTAAAATATTCAGGTATTTAATTTTTTTATACTATTGTGAGTGGCATTGTTTTCCCAATTGCTTTTACAATGAGATCATTTTTAGTGTATAGGAATGCTATTGATTTTTGTATCTTTATTCTGTATCCCGTTATACTGCTGAATTTAGTTAATCCATTGTAGGTGTCTTTTGGTGGAGTTTTTTGGGTCTTCTAAGTAAAGGGTCACGCCATCTGCAAATAATGGTATTTTGACTTTGTCCTTTCCTACACATATCCCTTTTATTTCTTTATCTTACCTGATTACTCTGGCTAATGTTTTGAGGACTGTGTTGAACAGGAGTGGTGATAATGGACATCCTTGTCTTGTTCCTGATTTTAGAGGGAAGGCTTTCAGTTTTTCCCCGTTTAATATGATGTTATCGTAGGTTGGTCACAAATGGCTTTTATCATGTTGAGATAAACTTTCTATACCTATTTTCTTTAGGGTTTTTAAAAAAATTTTTTTGGTACCAGGGATCGAATTCGAGTCCTTGTGCTTGTGAAGCAGGCAGTGGAACCACTGAGCTAAATCCCTAGCCTAGGGTTTTTTTTAAAAAATCATGAATGAATGGATGTTGGAATTTGTCAAAGGCTTTTCCTGCATCTATTGAGACAATCACGTGATTTTTGTCTTTGCTTCTGTTTATGTGATGAATTACATTTATTAATTTATGTGTGTTGAACCATCCTTGCCATCCCTGGGATGAAGCCTATTTGGTCATGGTGTATGATCTTTTTGATGATTTGTTGTATTCTGTTTACCATTTACCAGTATTTTGTTAAAGATTTTTGCATCTATATTCATTAGAGAAATTAGCCTATAGTTCTCTTTTTTTGGTTGGATACTTGTCTTGTTTTGGGATCAGGATAATGTTAGCTTCCAAGAATGATTTTGGAAGTACTCTTTCTCAATTTTGTTAAAATGTTTGAGGAATATTGGTGTTAGATCTTCCTTGAAATTTTTGTAGAAATTGGCTGTAAATCTTTCAGGTTCTGAACTATTCTTAGTAGTTAGTTTTTGTTTGTTTTGCTCTTTGTTACTGCTTCAATTTCATTGCCTGTTTTTGGAATATTTAAGATTTTTAAGTGTTGGTTCAGTTTTAGCAAGTTATATGTATCTAGGAATCCTTCTATTTCTTCTGATTTCCCAATTGTTTGACCTATATGTTTGTGAAGTAATCACTAATTTTTCTGGGTTTCAGCAAGGTCCATTGTGATTTCACCTCATGTATTTCTAATTGCATTAATTTGTGTCTTTTCCTTTTTTCATTAAGATTGGCTAAGGGTTTGTCTATTTTGGTTATTCTTTCAAAGAACTAGTTCTTTGATTCATTGATTCTTTTTATTTTTTTTAGTCTCCATTTCATTAATTTTTGCTCAGATCTTTATAGTTTTCTTCTTTGTACAAGTTTTGGGTTTGGATTGTTCTATTTTTCTGATGTGGACATTCACTGCTGCAGGTGTTCCTCCCAGGACTGCTTGCTTGCTTGCTTTTCTTCTCTTCTCTCTTCTCTTCTCTTCTCTTCTCTTCTCTTCTCTTCTCTTCTCTTCTCTTCTCTTCTCTTCTCTTCTCTTTTTTTGAGACAGGTGTTGCTATACAGATTGGGCTGGCCTTAAACACTATGCAGCCCAAGCTGGCTTTGAACTCACAGCGATCCTCCTGTCTCTGCCTCCCAAGTGCTGAAAGTACAGGTGTGCACCACCACGCCAGGCTCAGACTGCTTTCATTGTATCCATAAGTTTTCGTATGTTGTAATGGCATTATCATTTAATTCCAGGAAGTGTCGCATTTCCTAATTTCTTCTGTGACCCATTAATTTGAATAAAGTATGTTGTTTTAATTTCCATATGTTTGCATAGATTCTATGTTTTCTTTGCTGTTGATTTCTAGTTTCATTGCATTGTGATCTGATAATACGCATGGTAATATTTTCATTCTTTAGTATTTACTTAGGCATGCTTTATTAGCTAGTATGTGGTATATTTTGGAGAAAGTACCAAAAGAATGTGTATTCTGTTATTGTTGGGTGAAACATTATACAGTAAGCACCTAACTTACGAATAAGTTCTGTTCCAGGAGAACATTCATAAGTCAAATTCGTTCATAAGTCCAACAAGGTGAGTCTTATACACTTTTGACACAAATATACAATACACCTTTGACACAAAGCAAAAAAAACCAAAAAACAAATTTGAGGTCCATTTGTATCTGTATCTGTGAAAGTTCACAACTGAAATGTTAGTAAGTTGATGACTTTCTGTATATTATTCCATTTGTTCGAAGGTTTGTTTCAACTCTGATATTTCTTTGTTGATTTTTTTTGTTTTTGTCCATTTGTGCTAGTGGGATATTGAAATTCCCCATTATAATTGTATTGCTATTCATCTGATCTTTTATGTCCATTAGAGTTTGTTTTATGAAGTTGGGTGTACCATGGGTTGGCGCATGTATGTTTGTAATTGTTATCGCTTCCTGTTGACTAGTTCCATTAATCAATATGTAATGTCCTTCTTTGCCTGTTTTTATCAGCTTTGGCTTGAAATTCACTTTATCTGAAAACAGGATAGCTACCCTTACTTGTTTTTAGGTTCCCATTGCATGGATTTGTTTTTCATCCTTTGATTTTTAGTCGTGAATTTTTTGTGTGTTAAATGTGCTTTTTGTATACAGCATACCATGGATTTTGTTTCTTGATCCATTCTGCTAATGTGTGTCTTTTGATTGGTGAGGGGAGTCCATTTACATTGATAGTCATAATTGACAGATACTCACTGTATTAATTTGTGTTGCTCTTTTGCTTTCTTTTCCTTCTACTTGATTGCTAGCCCTACCTGATGCATTCATTTTATTGGACTTTTTGACATTGTTAGTAGCTTCATTGTCTCCTTCTTGGATATCCTCAAGAATTTTTTGGAGTGTTGGTTTGGTTGTCATGAATTTCTTAATTTTTTCTTTATCATGGAAGTATCTTATTTCTCCACCAGTTTTGAAGGATAATTTTGCAGGATATAGCAGTCTGAGTTGGAAGTTGTTTTCTTCTAAGCTTGAAAAACTTCATTTCTTGCTCTCCTTGCTTTTAAGGTTTGTGTTGAGCAATATTTTGTGATTCTAATGGGTTATTCCTTATAGGTGATTTGTTGCTTTTCTCCAGCAGCCTTTAAGATTCTATTCTTGTGTTGTATTTCTGGTATTTTAATTGTTTATTTGAATTTTTTTTTTTTTTTTTTTTTTTGGTACTGGGGGTGAACTCTGGACTTTGTGCTTGCGAGGCAGGCGCCGGAACCATTGAGCTAAATCCCCAGCCCTCTGGTATTTTAATTGTTATGTGGTGTAGAGTGTCTTTTTATCTTCTCTCTCTGATCATGGCTATTTGGGTTCTATATGCTTCTGTAGGTTAAATTCTTTTTCTGTGTCTGGAAAATTTTCTGATATTACTTGTGTAAACAGGTTTTTTGTGCCCTTTGTACAGGCTTCTGATTTTTCACTAATTCCAATTACTCTTACATTAGTCCTCTTTGAGTCATCTAGGAGCAGTTGGATCCATTTTTCATGTTCCCCTGGTTTTTTTTTGGTTTTTTTTTTTTTTTGGTACTGGGGATTGAACTCAGGTCTTTGCGCTGTGCAGCAGGCAGCGAAACCACTGAGCTAAATCCCTGGCCCAATGTTCCCCTGTTTTTAAGGTATCTCTCATTAACTGGTCATTGACCACAGCCTTGTCCTGAAGGTCTGACACTCTGTCCTCACCTTGGTCACTGTTGCTACCCATACTTTCAGTTATGTTTTTAATCTGGATTTCTGTTTGGACCTTTCTTATGAACTCCTTTTCTATGCTGGGGATTCATGTTTTGCATCTCTTTCTTTAGATCTGTTAGCTATTTATTAGTGTCTTCTTTAGACTCACTGAGCATTTTTCATATTAGGGTCATTATCTGATTGGTTATATCTTTTTTTTTTTGGTTATATCTTTTTTAAATTGCCAAGTACCTTATTGAACTTTTTCATTTCCCATTGGTACCCTTTCGGACCTATCTGCTGTGTAGCTTATGATTTCCTCCCCCTCTAGGCCCCCTGAACCAGTTTTTGGGAGTTGGGAGTTTTTGGAGGTCTTGTCTTCTCACGTTTTTGGTTTTTTGTTTGTTTTTGTGCAGATTCTTTGGCCCAATGCCATGTTCTTCCAGAAGAAGTCAGTGTTGTTTCTGACTCCTAGGCAATCCAGATACTGGCACAGAGAGAAAACCAATTGCCACCCTCTATATGTTATCTTGGCTATAGTAGTACATTGAATGACAACAGTGGCATCAAATTTCAACTGGGTATTGAAAAATCCTAGGAACCACTCATGAACAGCCTTTAATTAAAACAAAGCGGACTGTTATTTACATGAAGACAATTAGCCCATCCTTATGTTGACCTACAGTAGTTCAGACCACTGGTTTTGGTGAATGTACGCTGCAGTGTCAGAGCTTAAATATACCACTAGACTAAATGTCTTCTTCTTCAAGACATCCCCCCCACCCCACCATTATTACTCCCAAAGAACTTGGCCACCCACAGAATTCAGGCCAGTGATCTTCCTGGTCTGAGCCCAGGGCTCTCAGTAGTTCCCAGGGGATTGTTATTTAGCTATCATCCTCTCCAAGTCTGTCTCCTAAGGCTGTTTCTCACCTGGGACTGTGGTAGAGAGTATCACTTCAGTCCTGGTGAAACTGTCCTCCTGGGTATAGGTCTCTTCGATCAGATCTGTCTATTGGTTGTTACCTCTATTAACCTGCGTTGTGGGGAACCCAGGGCTGCAGGTGGGGCACATGGTTCTGGTTCTGGTCTTGTCTTAGAGCAGGGCCAGGCAGACATTGGTGTTGGCTGGGGACAGGTCATGAGGTTCCCGGGTCCTCCTGGCTCAACATGGACCCTTCAGCTCTGTGTTTTTAGATTCTATGTAATTCTTCCTGTTTCAGTGAAGGGCTTCATGTCAGTTTGCATATTATCATTCATTCATTCATTCATTCATTATTAATTTGTGTGTGTGAAGTGCCAGTTTAACCCAGATAGTGTTTTATAAAAAAAAAAAAAAAAAATCTGTTTGTCTCTCTTTTTTTTTCTGTGTCCTGTGTTCCCTGGCTATCTTTTGCTAATTTTCTGAGATCAAATTTTAACATTCTGTTGGGAGTGATCCTAGCAACTACCTCCTGGTGATGCAGGAGGAACTCAGTAACATAATGAAGACCACTGGCCTGATGTTCTGTACATGTTAATTTTTGCCTTTAATGGTAGTGGTTTGTCATAATTTAATCATATGTTTAGAACATACATGATTCTATCTCAGATTTGATTAGAAATGCTAAAAAAATACATATTATGTTTTACATGACAGATAGCAGCTGATGAGCCTCCACCAGAAGGATGTAATTCATTTTTCTCAGTGCATGGAGAGAAGACTTGTGATTTTGATGACCTGGAGACTCTTCTATTAACAGCGTCTGGAAGGTAGGTTGTGTGTTTCTTCATTTAAATGCCAAGCATCTCCGTGACCTTTTTCTGTGGTAAGTTCATCTGACTTTTCTTATCTATTTTGTGGTCTCTAGGTGTAATAGTTTAGAGTACAGATTCTGGATTCAGAGTGACTAGATATGGATCTCAGCTCCACTTAAAAATAGTTTTGTGACATGGTTTTTTTTTTTCTTTCTTTTTTTTTTTTTTTGTTACTGGGGATCAAACTCAGGACTTTGTGCTTCTCAGGCAGGCACATTGCCACTGAGCTATATCCCTGGCCCAGTTTTGTGAAATGGGACAAGTTACTTTCTTTCCTTTTCTCTCAAATAGAGATAAAAAGAGTATTTGATATTCCCATTAATTTAGTAATGACTTTATCTGCGAGTCTAAGTAGGCTTTGTTATTAGCTTAGCAAGGAATACGTGTGTATGAAAGCCAATGCCTGAAGTAATGATATTAATGATAATGTTCTCTCAGGATGTTAATAGATTCAAAGAAGCCTATTTGAATGGTAATTGTAAGCTGATTCAAATATAAAATTGGTATTTTATGAGTTAGGTGGTTTTTGCCTTTATTTCTTATGGTGGACAGCTGTAATAGGTATCTTTTGCTATCTGGCTATAGTAGAAACCCCTTTATACCCCCTCTAAAGCTGCTAAAAATACAGTGTGCTATAGTTATGAGAAATGCTAATGGAAATTTGTTGGTCTAAGTCTTCTTCAGGGACATTAGCTGCTCAGTATGTGTCCTCTGCCCCTCAAATGGTATTAGTGCCCCTTCTTCAGGCAGGCAGCTAATAAACACAGTGTATGTGCCAGCCAGCTGTGAACATTTGAGAATAGTGCCATGGTTAAATATGCTTGCTTGAGGGAATAAAAGTGAAGATAAATAAATAAATAAATATAGTAATTCTTCAAAACTTTATTGCAACTATAATTCAGGTCTTGATAAAAGAGTGGTAATATCATCTTTCTGAGCGATAGAAACTACTTTTCAATATATTGGCATTTATCCTGTTATACTTTGTTCTTGGTTTTAAATTTATACAAGTAGATAGATTTATTTTTGTAAGAGGCATCATTCCATTTAGCACATGTAGGTGTACCTCAGAATTTTTAACACATGCATAAAAACCTAGGTAAGAATGACTTACTGGTCGATTGTTAGGTCCTTTCAATCCTTTTGCTTTTTATTTTTTGCTATTGTAAGGCTATAATGGATATTTTTGCCTTCTATCAGATAGTTTATCATAGTAGAGATTGGTAGGCCACACATTAAGATCCATTAAAATCTTGATGCCACCCAGAGAATTTTTGGTTTTCTTTTGTTTGGAAAAGTTTAAAAGTTTATGAGAAAAACTAAAATGTTATAACAACTAGCAGGCACAACTAGTAGTAAAAATGGAAGAGGAGAGAGATATACTGTAATTGGCAGTTTATATGCTCAAAGTCATCCTCTGCTCTGTTCATTATTTGTACTTATGTTTCAGATAAAAGGATAATCATATTCTATATGGTAAAAAAATGCTACAGGTCTAGTGCTATGAGATTTGGATATGTATTCTTTTTCTGCCTTGGTTTTCTTTTTTTTTTCCATACTGGAGATCGAACTCAGGAACTGGTGCTTGTGAGACGGGCACGGTGCCGCTGAGCTAAATCCCTGGCCCTAAAAGAATTTTTTTTTTAGGTGTCAGGGATTGGGTAAATTCCTGGCTCTCTTTTTTTAAAAATAAATTTTATTTTATTTTATCCTATTCCCCCCAAAGCCTCCTCCCTTTGCCTTGGTTTTCTTTCACTAGGAAATGGTAACAATTGTTAATACAAGTCTGCATTTTATAATTAGTATTTATGTAGTATACTTTTAGTTTTTGCAGTCATGAACAAGACTCAGATGACAGTGTTCTGAGTGAAAACTATTTAAGACTGTAATACGATTTATATTAAGATACTTGTAATCTTAAATTATCGTAGCTATACTTGACATTTTGTCTGATTTTTTTAGTGCTTAACATTTTTTTACATTGAAAATTTAAAAATTGTAATATTTATTTCCAGACCCAAACCTTTATTGTTCAAAGGAGATCACAGGTATCCCTCATCTAATCCTGAAAGCACAGTGGTGATTTTCTACTCTGAGATAGGCCTTCAGGAATTTTCCAGTTTCCACCACCAACTTGTATCAAAAAGTAATGCAGGCAAAATCAACTATGTATTCAGACATTATATTTCTGTAAGTATTGACTTATTTTACAAGTGTTTTGAATATTAATTTGCCTGGCATGACCTTAGAACATCAGCTAATAATTTCCCTCTTTATGAAATAGTTTAGTTATTTTAACTACTTTTTAGAGAAATTCAGTACTTTCATCAGATCTGAAATGCCATTGCCTTGCTTGCCTTTCTGAAGAAATGTGAATTATATGTAAGAAGTGGCCTAATTTTGCCAAACCTGGTGACCCATGCCTGTAATCCTACCACTTGAGAGGCTGAGGCAGGAGATCATATCAACTTTGAGGTCTTCCTAGGCTACATAGTGAGTTCAGGGCCAACCTAAACTACACAGTGAAAGCCTGTCACACACACACAAAAAAAGGGGCCTAATTTTGTTTCAAAATGAA